ATATAACTTCGAGGTGAAGTGCAAGCCAGGTAAGCAAAATGCTTTGGCTGATGCGCTACCGCGTCGAACTGACTATGAGCTTGCTCATGTTACGACTCTTTTGTCGTCAGTCCCTGACTTAATATGTGCGGCATATGCCAAGGATGATCAGTGTGTATCTTTGCTACGTGCTCTTGGGAGCGATGAGTTTAAAGACTCGGACATAGAATTGTCGGCACGTTTACGTGCGAGGCTATATCGATATTCCATTGATAATGGCCTGTTGTGCTATCGCACGGATATTGAAGATAAGCCTCGTATCGCTGTACCTCATGATGAGGAATTAAAGTATCGAATCCTCTATGAGGCACATGATACTGCTTTAAGTGGTCATCTCGGTCGTGAGAAGACTTATAGCTCGGTGAGCCAAAGTTATTGGTGGCCCAAACTTTAGAAGTGGGTGCACACCTATGTGCGTACGTGCAAAACGTGCTAACGGGTAAAACCCTCGGCACATTCGGCGGCGCCGCTGGCTAGTTTGCCAGTACCTACTGGTCGTTGGAGTCCATGAGCACGGATTTTGTGTTTGGCCTCCCGAAATATTTGGAAGGCAACACTGGTATTGTGGTATATGTTGACCGATTAAGCAAGATGGCTCACTTAGCGGATGTGCCGGATAGCATCGATGCCGAAGGTACAGCAAAGCTGTTTATCGACCGTGTGTTTCACCAACATGGCTTGCCGGTGGCAATTATCTCTAATAGAGACCTCCGCTTCACTGGGAAGTTTTGAAAGTCTATCTTTAAGGTGCTTGGCACTCGGTTGGACATGTCCACAGTGGATCATCCGCAGACCGACGGTCAAACTGAGCGTGTTAACCGCGTAATCAACAACATTTTGCGCAGTGTTTGCGCTGGTACGCCTAGGCGTTGGAGCTCAATGCTCCCTTTTGTTGAGTTTGCGTTGAATAACGCTGTTCATGCCTCAACAGGCTTTCTCCGTTCTACATAAACGGTCTCAGCCACCCTCGCGTTCCGTTAACGCTACCACTCTATGGTTCAGGACTTGGTGGGGGTGAGGTTGCCTATCGGCTTGCTGATATCATCCCTGCTACTGTTCATAAACAGGTAGGCGAGTTTCTCGCAACGCGATTAAACGTCTTAAGACATGTGCGTGACGCAATGGCTGATAGCCAAGATACCCAAAAACAACAAGCGGATGCCAAAGGCAGAAATTGTATTGAACGTTATGAAGTCAGAGACCAAGTACTACTCAATGCTAAAAATCTACCTATAAATGTAGTGTCTGCTGTCTCCAAGACAAAGTTGCGTCCACGCTTTATTGGACCGTTCACGGTCACGTCCGAGAAGGGACTTGCGTATACGCTAAACCTTCCGCGCAAATTGCGCACACATCCTGTGTTCTACGCAGGCTTACTAAAGCCGTGCCGGGATCATTCCCATGTGAACTTGGAGGCGCTTGCGCCGACGACAAGGGAACTGCCCCGGATTGCTGTAGGCGAATCAGCAAGTCCAACTGAGCCTCGCTCCGAGTTTGAGCTTGCTCCATCGCCTGAAGGCGGCTTTGCATCGCATCCAGCATGCACTGGGACTTACCCAAGGCCTCTTGAAGACCCCTCACTTCGAGAACCAATTTTTCGTGGGCCTCCACCGGTACACCGGCCGCCACCGACTTTGCTCGACGAGCATGGGTGTCGTCAATTTCATGTCGAGATACTACTAAAACGACGTCGTCGTCAGGGCCAATATCAGTATCTGGTAAAGTGGCGTGGATACCCTGAGTCTGAAAACTCATGGGAATTTGAGGAACCCCTTCGTCAAGACTGCCCATATGCATTGGATGCTTTTGAGCATCGTAGCCATGGTCATCTCGAGACCGAGGCCGTTACCCACCACTAGTGGTGCGGGTTGGCGGGTTGTTGGCCCAAGACTGACCAGCACTCGCGGCTACCTTAGTAGCCGAAGCATAGCGCGTGCGCTTGCGCAATTGGCCTCTGGCCTTAAGCTCGGCATAACCATACCGAAGCTTGCGTTCGAGACGCACATCCGCCGCATGGACACTAGCCTTTAGAGCAACAATGTTGCTGAGGCGACGCACATAGTGCACCCAATGAACGAAGGCATCGTCTTCTTCGCTCACTGTTTCGCCTGCGAGCAAGAGAATGGGTATACCCTTGATCGGTGGAACCGGTGCACCACGTGCTTGCATGTCAAGGCGTGCCTTGTATTGACCTTGGGTCGTTAGGTGCGGCTCCAGGTACCTCTCACGAAGTGCCTGGCAGTTCACCACCTCCTCAGGAGTCTTAGGCCCATGGCCAGTGACCCACGTTGCCAATGTTTAGCCGGCCTCTTGACGTAGACGTTCCTCCACACTGGGTGGGGTGAACACATAGTCACGCTGGCGTTCAAGGGTTGCAGCCATTTGTACATAACGCTGAGCGTTTTCTTCTCTTTGGACAAGCAATTGTTGTTGCTCATCGAGCGGGTTCGTGATGATAGTCTCATCAGACCCAGTTGCTGCATGCTGCGCTGGTGGCGCGCTCGCATCTCCACGTTCATAGAACGGACTTGAGGTATTCGAAGGTTGTGCCTCAGACATCGGTGAGTCGGACATTGTCCCTGTATCACCCTGGACACTGGTATCGCTACCATAGTCCACTGCCTCCTCTATATCGAGGTAGTCACACAGAGTCTTTAACTCGTTTGGTGATAAGGACATTGTGATAGAGCGTACGTTGCCGTGAGGTTTATCGTACGCACACTGTTCTCGCTCAGGAACACAAGTTTGATTGACGTTTTGGTAAACGTCAGTCTGGTGGGGGAGGGTGTAACGGGGTTCCACGAAATTATATGGTACTTTGTACCAGAGGTGTTACACACCTGAGTTTACCCCTTTGTGAAGGTGATAGAGAATATCCTTTTGGTTTGTGGGGGCTGACGAGTGTCAGCCATTAGGTACGAAAGATCTTTGAGTAGGATTAAGATATTCTATAAGCTTTGACAAAAACAAAATCAGTTCCCATTTTGATCTAAAGGACACGTGGCGTGCGAGTCGTCTCGATCGTTGATCACTGATCACTAAGAGTAAGCAACACCTCCTTGAGGTAGCTACTCTTGAGCACTGAGTGCTGTCGATTCACTGGATCGTTTGGTCCCCTGGAACAGGGATCTGAAGCTGTACAGCTTGTTGACTCGTAAAATTGCATGTTCTTCAGAACTAAGCTGCTCGTAGAGCATTAAGTCTTCCTCTGACTTAAGGTGCTGTGTAGCTCCGCTACACCCTTCATGAGAAGCTTTTTTTTTTTCTAGTTATTTCACCCCTTTAAGCTACAGGATAGGATGTGGAGTGTTGAATTGTAGGATCTGAAATGCCTTGTGATACGCTTCGAGATTGAAGAAGTTGCTGCAACAGCGGAGTATCGTGGACTTACACCGGTTCTGATCGTCATGTGTTAGCCATGTGGTAACGATATGATGTTCCTCAATGTAACCTGAAAAAAAGCACATGACAAATTAACAAGCGAAATCGGTACAAAGCTGCATCAAAACTCCTCATTACGTGAAAGCTGAATGCAGGATCGATCTATGTGCTGGCTTCGTCGTACATCATTGAACTCGAATGGATGGTTCATCTCGGTCAATAGGGTACAATCAACATGTTTAAGCTGTAGATGGTAGCTGGATAAGACGTGTGAGCAGAAGTGAATATCAATGTGGGCAACGCAGTCATGATATCGTGTTTCGCTCTTCTGGAAGGAAGTTGAGACGAAGGGATGTCCACAGGTGTGCTGCCGTTCATTCGTAGTGTATGCTATCATCACAGCGCACGCCAGTACATATTTAATTGCCGGCGCACAGGTTCCAATGGCACGGCAAAATATGATCCATGAACCACCGCAAGTACCACGTATCGACAATGGCCTCAACAACGACTGCACGAATGAAACCGGCAATGCTTGGCATTCGAAGCATTAAGAGCAAAAGTGGAACCCAAAACGTATTGACAAGGGTAATAATGTACACAGCTCCGATAGTGAAACTGTGGTTGACATAGCAACGAACCCGTCCACCGAACAACGATCAAATGGAACCGACTTCAAGGTCATGCCACCATGAGTAAGTGTTGATTGAGTGGATGTGTATCACGGTTTCAATGAGAGCATCCGTGCTGGAAGTTGTACTCACAAAGAGCAGATTGGGTACGAGTCTCCACGGACAAGACGGACAGCGCGAGAGGTATGACTTGTTTTTTAATGTGACCACCTACTCTGCACTTTGTTGATCGACTGCGTTTTGATTCTTATCACGACGCTGTCGTCGTACACAAGGAAAGCGACTGCAAAAAGTCGCATCAAGAGGCACAGGAAAAACGCACATTGCGACCAGAGTAGATGACACATGTCGACAGTACACGAATACATGTAGAAACACTGCCTTCAGTACTAATGAGGGATTGGTATTCAAAGAATGAACGAAGTCGTTGTTTCTCGACTACTGCTGGTATGGTCACAATGGCAAATGGGATATCGACGGCGGCTGAAAAGCTACGGAAACTCGCGACTTCCACACAACATCTGATCCTCGACCTGAGCACCGTTGTGTATTCTTCTGAAGATGCGGGGTCCGCAAGAAGATCGTAATTCACGTGGACGACGGTACCCGCCGGAAGGGGTGGTGTCATGCACGTATAGTATCGGAAGACTGGAAGGACCATCGGTTTCGTCACGACTTTCTAGTCGTCAGTGGAAAAACATCCGCGAAAAAGAAGGTGAAAAAGACGGGAGTCGGTTCTAGAAAACAGCCACCTCAGGTGTATGACATTTTGAATCGGACGGTTCAAACGCTACTTTCGACAACATTCGATCGAAGCACTTCAACATCATCATGATCGGTCTGCCTCTGTCTGCACGCCAAGAGAGCGGCGACCCACGTCCCCCTTCATTTCCCAATTTGCATCCAACCGCACGATCGACCAGTAGCAACAACCCACACACGACAAAGTTACGCAACCATGTTCAGCTCGTGGGATCTCGTACGACCGCGCTTCTGGTACCCCATGTCGTCTCTGGAACAGTCCATGATGGAGCTCGAGCACATGAGTGACAGCATGATGCGACCGCGCTTCCCTTTTGGGGCGCGTCGAGAGATGCTCGCCACTCCAACTCCAAAGCACGTCATGTACTCCGGGAAGTCGACGGACGATGACGACTTCTTCGTCGACCTGTGTAACGGGGTGAATCGTTACATAACAATTTATAAGAAATTGTTAATAGAATATAACTATAAGAGTTATATTCTCAGAATATTGTCATAAGGACAATATTCTGTAGCACTTCCAAGTAGTTCCTAATTGGTTGATATAGGCCATTATATCAACCAACGAAGACGCGCCACGACAGACGCACGCAATGAGTGGTGAGCAGATAACTGATTTACACATTTGTATTTAGACATAGTTAGATGAAGATAAATAGTGATTTATTGCAGACATTAACTATTATAAATACAGTTCTACTTTTACTCTAACCGAGTACTCGCTTCTTCTTACCGTCTTCCTCTGCACGTACGAGTGTACGTGAAGTTACGAGGCACCGCCTTATTCTGTTATCAGAATAAGTAGCTTGTACTGTCACCAGTACAAGCTTCAGGGTGCCCCGTTACACCTGGTAGCACTTTGTAGTCCGTCCAAGGACCGCGTTCACATCCAACATGAATATGTTGGATGATGAAGATGACCAAAGCTTTCACGCTACGCGTGACGGCTACTCCCATTTGAGCGATGTCGAATGGGATGCGGTTGAACGAATGGGTTCGACCATGGGCATCCATGCTGTTAGCGTCATGCTAGAGGCTCTCAATAGAGATGCCCAACATGCTACTATCGCCAAGTTCATTCAAAATGAACTTGACGCAGAACGCGAGAAAGTAGCCTTGCTTCACCAACAAGGTTCTCAACAAGCAGAGTTGTTGAGAGAACAAGGTGCTCAACAGTTTGAACTGTTGAGACAGCAGCAAGCTGCTGCTGGCGGGTCGATGCACTCGCGTCGACCCGAGACTTTGAAGATTGACATCTCAAAGTATAGAGGGGTCGAAGAAGACTCCCTCTTGAGATGGTTCGTCGAATTGGATGACGCCATAAGGGCGCGTCGCATCGACGACGGGGATATGCAAGTTGCATTTGCCCAATCAAATCTGGCAGGACGTGCCAAGACTTGGGCACTGGGGCTCAAGCTGCACGACCCATATGCGTTTGGGTCGTTGGAAGTCTTCAAGTCGCGGCTCAGACAAACGTTTGAACCGCCTAGAGCTGAGTTCAGAGCTCGAACCGAACTCTTGAAGCTCAAGCAGGGTAAGCGTGATGTGCACGCTTACGCTCAACATATACGACATCTCACGAGTTGTATAAGTTCCAATCCGGTGGATGAACACACGTTGGTTTCGGTGTTCATGCAGGGTCTTGCGGATGGTCCCGTCAAGACTCACCTGTTCCGGCTTGAACTAGATTCACTAGAACAAGCCATTTCAATTGCGGAGCAGGAAGACTTCAGTCTGAGACAGGCTCGCGCCAGCTCGACATCATATCGTCAACCGAGACGATATGACAACGGAGGTCCAGAGCCGATGGAACTCTGTTATGTAGAGAGCGAGAAGGCTCGCTCTACAGGCTACAAGAAGTTGCAGAGATGCAACAGATGTCAAAAGACAGGACACTACGCTTACGAGTGTAGTGCCCCTCGTCCAGTGTCTCGCGACACTGGGCGTAGTGACCGTCCACCCATGAGAAAGGGGCAGGGACGAGGGTCCGCAGTTGGTGCAAAGACGCAACAACGGGATGGACCGTCAAAAAACGGACAGGATCAGTAGGTGCGGAGCACCCTACTGATCCAGCAACGTCAAGAGAATTTGTAGGCCTCTTGATGAAGGTTGCTCCCAACACACAGACATTGTGCGTTGCTGCTCTAGGTAATGAGATCTCACTCATTACCTTGAAACTCGAAGTGACGAATAAGTTGTCCCTTCGAGCTCTAGTCGATTGTGGGGCGTCCAACAATTTTGTGCGACGCCAATCGCTAGAAGATGGTCACTTTAAATTCAGTGAATGTGACACACCTCCTACGAGGATGATGGTACGTCTTGCGACATGCGCATCCGTAACCGTCATGAAGCGTATAGTGAAGATTCACTATACGCTAGAAGATACCCAATACGACGATGACTTTATCGTATTGGATTTGGATGACAAATTTGATGTCATCCTTGGAATACCGTGGCTCAGAAGGTACGAACCACGGGTAAACTGGCAACATCGGACAGTAACGATGCCTGCCGCTTGTTCATCAGATGGCCATCTGATGAACGTTTTGGAGCGTCCACAAGCGTGTGGATGTACTACGAGTGAGTGCGATGGCCTCACTTGTGGTACGGTCGTTAGTACGACTGCACAAAACCTTAGTGTACCAAACGGTTACACTTCGGAGCAAAGTTCCGGCGGCTGTGAGGAAACACAGGCTGCGCCGAAGGTCCACCACTCGAATAAGTCGGGTGGACTGGGACAAAGATGTATCCCTAGAGGGGAACATCTAGAAGAGAAACAATCGATCGCTCAGGTTAAGCGAAACGATAATCCTAGATCGACTGGAGAGTCTTTCGTAGAGGATCTCGCTGTGGTTGCGCAACCCCAGCTAGAGGAAGTAAAGGGAATAAGTCCCAAGATTACAAATACGGCGGAAATAAGTTCCCCGAAACCCGCGGGAATAAGTCCCCGGGAAGACGAAGGAATAAGTCCTTCGAAGCCTGAGGGAATAAGTCCCCAGGAAATGACAGAGACATTGAATGTCATAGTCAATAACGGATCATGTGTAGGCGCTTATACACTTGATCTGATTGCGCCTCCGAAGTTAACTTCGGAGATCACTCAGTTGCCAACGCTCGAACATAAAAAATTCTTGCGTGATCTGCGTAGTGGCAAAGTCAAGCAGATCTGCATACTCGTCGCTGACGACGAGTGTGTAACCGACATAAGGTCAGCAACAGTGTTCACTGAGAACGAGAGAGTTCTCAGTAGTTCATCTATGGACGAGAGTGTCCTAGATGAAAAGACACGAATTGAGCGATATGAGTCCCAATCATGGGAATCGCTCA